CGGAAAAATGAAGATCTCCACCGTCCCGCTCAATCTAAAACAAACCATATCGGAGGTCATCCGTGCTTTGCGATACACGCATCGGGACAGAGGGTTGGAAACCATCGAGAACCTTGATAAGGTGCCACCAGAGCTTGTTGTTCTTGGTGACCCTGTTCGTCTCCATCAGATTTTCATGAATCTTCTCAGCAATAGTTACAAATTCACTCCTGCTGGATCGGTTACGGTCAAAGCGAGGGTTGCACGTGAGGGCAAAGGTCGGGTTCGCCTTGAATGCTCCGTCACCGACACCGGCATCGGTATTCCGGATGAACAAAAGGCGCGCCTCTTCCGGCCATTCTCACAAGCTGATGCATCTACGGAAAGATCGTATGGTGGTAGTGGTCTTGGCCTGTCAATCTGTAAAGCTATCATTGAAGATGTTCTCGGTGGAGCTATCTGGTTAGAATCGACCTCTGGCGTGGGAACGACTGTGACATTCCACTTGGTCTTCAACAAAGCACCCAAGAAGACGGCTGTGAAGACTGCATGGTCACAAGATCTCAGCAATGCAGAAAAGGAAGCCCGTCGGGCCTCAGCTCGCGACCTGACTCAGATCCCTCGTGATCAGATCCGAGTGTGCATTGCCGAAGACAACCCAATCAACCAAAAGATCGCCGTCAAATTCGTCACTGGGCTTGGCCTCCAGTGCGAAGCATACAGCGACGGCAAACAAGCCGTCGATGCTCTGCGTGCAGCCTCCCAAGAAGGCAATCCATTCCATGTGGTCCTCATGGACGTGATGATGCCAACTCTTGACGGGTACAACGCGACCCGTGAGCTGCGCCGGGATCCCGACCCAAATGTCAACGAAGTGCTAGTCATCGCCATGACCGCAAGTGCCATTGAAGGCGATCGCGAGAAATGTCTGGAGGCTGGCATGAACAATTATCTCCCGAAACCGGTTCGCTCGCCCATTCTCAGCGAACTATTGGACAGATATCTCGCCCCTATGCCGCCATCCTACCCAAAGTCACGTCTTGCTATCCGAGAAAAACGTTCGAAGGCAAGTATTGATGCTGGGGCTGGTACACCTACCAGTTACTCCTCTTCGGCTTCGGATGAACCGAAGCCCTTGTCACTGGAAAAGAAATGAGTTCATGCATTGTTATTTTATACCCGAGTGTGCACAGATAGAAGCTAGGCGTCATTTTGGTTGATTATTTTATCTCTCTTTGAGTTTTGTTTCTTTTCTCGTCCCGTCATGACTTGCATACGTAGTTCTTCATGTAGTGTTTTTGTTCTTGGACTTGATTCTACGAGAATCATGCATCTAGGTCTTCCCCCCACGATGATGTTTTCAGCTCATAATCATGATCAATGGCATACTTCTTCTTTGGAATGATCGAATAGATGTTCTGAACTGGACATTTGAACATAATGCATTATTTGCATGTAGGATATCAGCTTCATACATAATTCTCATGGCATCAGATAAAGGTCTAAGCGCGGTGACAAAGATGCGGAATCGCTTGACACAACCAGGGAAAAGAGTCAACTTGACGTGGCTGAACACCCAGGTATCCTCACCACCAGTGAGATCATCAGGCTCAGACGCACACTCGGTGTCTGCCTGGCAGCACTTATCACCAGAGATCAGAGTCACAGACTCCGCAGAAAGCAGAAGAATCTAAACGGTTCAATTTGGGCCTACTGCGCCTCCTGTGGCAGTGATATATTTCCTGCACAACCTGTACAGAGAGCCCGGAGTTCGTCGGAATTCAATAATTCGATCAATATGACTTGTATTTGGTTATACTGCACTCTCCATACAGTAATGCAACAGATACAAGTGACAATAGCCACCCTGCTAGCCTTATTTCCTATTACATGGCACATATGTCATTCATACAATCCGGTATACTAATTTACCACAAAAGGTGAGGCAGATGAATGGGAATCCAGTCGAGCATGGTATCTACTGTTGTTCATAGCCCGTACACAGGGTTATACAATGACGCAGTCATTCGTGAACTCATTGATTCCCATATATCCCGAACATCCTTCACCAAATGGGACACCCGAGTCCGTTGCATGAGTACACAAACGGTGATACTTCCGTTATGTTGCAATGTTGACCAACCTGCCTGTGTGACACTAAACGGATTCTCTCTCGAGCCAGAGATTCGGGATTGGGACCAGGCACTCAATTTTATTGCCCTCCCACATAGCCTAGAAGGAGGAGAGGGGGGTCAATCGCCATGAAAGATGCAGTATTGTAACTGAAGACTCGCAGGATCCACCATATGCTATGAGGATAAATATCAGATTGAAAAATTGTTATAGTATTTCAACATGAGCACATCAAACTAAGCTGTGAAGCTTCTAAGCCAACGCCAGCAATGCCTTCGTATCATTCAGTATGGCGCAAACAGGAATGTAAAAACAAAAGAAAGGAAAGAAGAGAAAAGCACTTTTGTCGCTATCCCTTCCCAGTGGTGTTCATTGCAGCATTCTCTAGGGCCGTATATCTCCATTCATACTGTGCCATCGCTCTCTTATCGCTTGCGGAGCGACCATCGTTCTTGCCAGACAAATCCTTCGTGCCTTGCATCTGTATCTCCCATCCCTTGAGGATTCGAGCCTGGGCTTCTGCAATCGAAGTGAGGTTCGAGTTCTGTGAGGCCATTCGTTCGTCAATCGTGGCATGGTATGATAATTTGGCGCGGAAAAGGGCCATCTCGCATTCGTCGTACTTGATTCCTTTTGCCTCGGGCACCATGTTGTCTTGTGTACTCTTCTGGGGCATTTCGGATTGGAATACGAGAAAGAAGGAGGATAATTTTGTGACGAAGCAGACAATAAACCAAATTTATAGTCGTGTTTTGGCAATGGAGTGTGTGGAGTTGGAAGAACTGGAAGACAGTATGCACGGTAATATGTTCAAAACGAAGTATGTATATTCCAAAGATGAAGCAAATGATTCATGAGCGATTTCACAGCCTGGAGTATACCTGAAACAAACATAGAAAATATAGTGGCGAAAGGAAAGGACAATTTCCAAATTAAGGACCGACAAAATAGCTCGGGAAAAATGCAAGAGAATTCTCGATTCAATTATATCATGACAAGATCATGTTCACCGTCATTATCGCCCCTCCAATACCCGACATGACGGATGTATCACACCTAATTCCCCCTCAACGCTGCGCAGAAAAGGGGGCAGCATGGCCACAGCCAAACCATCCCGGAAAGAGAAAGAGATCAAAAGACACATGTACATACACATACAAAGGGGAATTTCAGAAAACCCAACAACCTCTTCACAAATCGTATTTGTGTCCTCTGAAAACGGTACTCGAGACATAGCTCTGCACATCCCGTGTTGAGCGGCGATGACCCATTTGCTTTTTGGCGACATTGCCATCTGTCTCGTGATGAGAAGCCGAGCCAATCTGAGTTGCCGCCTTGCCTGACACTCTTAGTGGTAAAAGCCATGGTAACACCGTGTTTGAATCGCCAGACCGCGCAACCGGACGTGCATGACTCTAGGAGTTTTGCTGGAAGGCGTGAGCAACAATCGGGAGATGCAGTCCTGTCTCGGTCCGTAAGACCGTGCGCAAATCTCTGTGTATCAGGGTCTATAGATTAGCAGACGTGTATATGTTGTGTTTTACATTTACTATGTACATATCCTTTTTATATCTTGACGGTTAATAGGACAGATGACTGTTTGCACCAAACGATTTGACCCGGATGTCTTCAGCTAAGAGACACTCAATCGAAGAAAAGTTTAACACTTCTATACGGTTGCCACGAGGGTCAATTAGCCATAGGCAAGCAACCGGATTACACGAAAATAGAGTTGATGTAGCCTGCCCGTCATTTCCACCCTACCCGCCCTCTCTCTCCCCTCGTATGATTTTTGTGAAGATCTCAATATGGACCATTGTCCATTTTGAGAACCTTCGAAATCTGCAGAGAAGATAAGCAGAAATCTCCTCCATGACGCTCGTATCAATGCGGTGTCTGGCCCAGACTATAAGTAATTATTCTAAGTAATTGACAATTGTCACCATTGGCTTCTCTCTTCTACAACTAGATACATACACACGTCTTCAGTACATAGAATAAAAAGCAAAGAAACCAGCTGAACTATATATACTTCAGCCACATAGTCTCTTTTTGTCTCTTTTTAGCTTGCGTCACCATCCTACTTTTCCAAGGATAACCATATCAGGGCTGCAGAGCACCACACTAGATCATCTGTGACACAGACTGCAGCAAGCCCGTTGACCGTTTTATTTTTCTTGATAAAGCACATGATACTGAAGGCTCAAACCATGATAATAGCCTCTTAGAAAGATGGACCTAAAAAAGCGATCGGAGTGCCAAAGGTCCTAACTCGGTACCTGATTTGTTTGTGCAACGCTGCAGGCCGAAATGTAGGGGACCTATGGGCCATAATTGCGTTCTGGACTGGTGGCGTTGAGTCTCGGAGAAAATAAGTAGAAGAATTCCGTGGAGTATCCCAGCAAGAAATGGGCGGATTAAGGAAGGTCTGGGCAATTTAGGGCTCGTGAGATCATCTGACGTCAAACAATTTGTAGGTCCGACCTTGAAGGTGAAGCCAACCTATCATTTTAGGATGTTGGTAGGGATAAAAGCCGTTTTAAATGTCGTGTTTATGGTGTCTCATATACGTTTGAGAAGACAGACGGAAATTGTGTGACAGAACAAGCGGCCCTCCGACGGGTAGGCGCAGGGTTATATCGGGTCCGACGCGTTTCAACTGTTCCACTTGTGCTTTTGACTTGTCAAATCTATGTCTAATGTTAAAAGTTTTGAAGCTTGGCTACATTTATCAATCATTGATTTTGAGAGGACCGGCTCGAAAGTTTCGCTCTAAAGTCTCAAGTCAAATACCAAGATCAGAGCGCCGAGCTGAGACGAACACGGGAAATATACATGAAATCATAATATCCTCCCTTTCACAAAATAACTTATCCGATGCTGGATGTTCATCGATTAATACTACCCTCCTCGTCCCGGGCCGCTGCTCTAGCTTTCTTGGCCTTCTGAATATCCAACGACATCTTCACCGGGTGGACTCCCGGGGTCTCGAACACAGTATTGATCTCCTCCAGAGACAGAGAGCTAGTCTCCGGGAAGAATAAATATGACAAGACGAGCTGGATCGAGTTGTATACAATGTACACGACCCAGATCTTATACCCGACCTTCTGGATACCAACGCCAATCCCGTAAGTCTGCGCGGCTCCGGCACCACCTTGGATAAGACTGTAAACGCCCATTCCCTTGGCACGAAGCGGTAGAGAGAGAATTTCAATTGGATACAAGTTGTGCATGGTTGCAACAAATGTCGCTGAGAAGGTCTGGTAAAGGAAGATCCAGAGGATGGTACACGCCGCCGCCGCAACAGTGGGATACACAGCGTACCGCCACGATGTGATCGTCGTAGCCGTTTGGAAAATAATCATGCTGATGAGACCCACAAAGATCATGGTTCGTCTGCGGAACTTGTCGACTATAAGCGCGCCGACGGCCGTAAAGACGAAATAGACTGCGGTGGTGCCAATTTGGAAACCGAGAAGGCTCTTCTCGTTGTGGAAGCCAAGTTGCTGTAAAGAAGGAGTCATCTAGAAAGAAATTAGCAACTAGACAAGTCATCCTCTCGGTATAACTACTCACATAGTACGTGATGATGCCACCTCCGTTCCATTGCTGGAAGAGCGAGTACAAAATCAACACAAGCAGTCGGTAACGGGCCGTTCTTGTGAAGAAGACCCGATAGTCCCAGTACGCTCTGTATCCTGTCGTGTCGGCCTCGAGAGATTCCTCAATCTGTTTCACAACAATTTCGACAAGGGGCTCATTGATGTCGGCGCTAGTGGTGTGATATTTGGCGACAATTTCCTTGGCTTTTTGGCGGTTGCCCTTCAACACATAATAACGGGGTGACTCCGGAGTCAAAAAGTAGATCCCCAAACAGACAATGGCAGGGAATAAACACTCAAGAATGAGGGGAACACGCCAGGAGTTATTGCCAGGCAACTCGGTGAGTCCAATCATGGCACCAAGCATAGCAAGACTACCAACTTGGAAACATGCGCCGAAAAAGCCGACCATAACACCACGCAAGTGGATCGGCGAGATTTCGCCAATATACTGAGAGCTTGACATGAGCGCACTGCCAAAGCCCAGGAAGAAGCGCCCAGCCATGAACATCGGCAGGTTCACGGCAAGGCCTTGCATGAGTGCCCCGAATATGACAAAGGCGTTGCCGCCGAAATTGATTGCACGACGACCAAACACGTCGGCCAAACCCATGAAAGGAGCTCCGCAGACGGTACCGATTTGCATCAGAGCATTTACCAATCCGTATGTACCACCACTGCTCCCGAAACCGAAGTAGTCGTGCCACTTTTGCATAGCATTGATACCGCCGATGACACCCCAGTCGATTCCAAAGCCAGCTTGATTACAACCATGAATAAACATGATGAGAAACAGACGGAAGCCGGTCATCGACTTTAGAGACAGAGAATCCTTCGACATCTTCCACAGGTCCTCCTCTGTCACTCGTGCCAGGGCAACCTCCTCAATATATTCCAGATCCCCGTTCTTGCCCATGTCGGCCTCCACGTAGGCAGTATCCGAATTGGCCATCGTTGGCGAACTCGAATCGACTTAGGTATAGAGTAAAGATATGACAGTCCCAAAAGTATGGGATTGAGAACCCTTGATCTGTAGTCAAATTTAAGCCAAGAGCGGGATATGCCGGGTTATTTCTGCTTCCCTGAATCGGACGCCAGGAAGCTAGGGGGCGACAGAACTGGCGGTCGGCATCGAGACGAGACCTATTCTGTCACGGAGCAGACATGAGAGCTTTGGAGAAAGATTAACTTGTGGTATGATATAATTGCAAAGATGATCAGTGATTGGTGAATGATTGAGGTCACGTTGTAAATTTTGCATGCCAATTCCTGAATTATCTCTCCTCCCCATCTGCCATAGGGATTTCCCACCACTGAGATGCGAGCACGAAGAAAATTAGCTTTTAACTAGAGGTTCTCGCTCTAGCTTTCCCTAACGCTAGTCGTGGCATGGCTGCACTAACCCCAGCTCATAAGGCGAATGATAATCTGGGGAGGAGACATTTGATCAAGAATCTGGGGAACAGCCGGGGAAAGAGTTAGACCAGGCGCTTGTTAACAAGATTATCCGGAATCCTTCGCAATTGGCAAATCGGATGGAGTTTTCCATCGTCCCTTTTCATCCTAGCTCGTATGACCTATCTGATTCAAAGTCTTTCAGCCTATTCTGTTCAAAATCGGCGGCTACCGGGCCGAACTACCGCCTTGTTCTACATCAAGCCCAACGCAGACCAGCGGACCAGGCTGATTGACGACTATTGAACATGTCGGAGTTATGGTACCAGCAGCCTGCGGAGCACTGGAATTCAGCCTTACCGGTTGGGAATGGGCGCTTAGGTGCCATGGTGTATGGACGCACTGATACCGAAATGTTACAACTCAATGAGGATTCAGTGTGGTATGGGGGACCACAAGATCGCAATCCAAAAGACGCACTCGAGTATCTACCGCGCCTGAGAGAGGCTATCCGCGCGGAAAATCATTCCGAGGCTGAAAAGATCGCCAAGCTGGCGTTTTTCGCCAACCCGATCAGCCAGCGGAACTATGAGCCGCTCGGAAACCTATTCTTGGACTTAGGACACGAGCACAGTCAAATTACAAGCTATCGTCGCTCGCTGGATATTGCGACTGCTACTGCACATGTCAGCTATGAGTACCAGGGTATCCGCTTCGAACGTGAAGTCTTGGCCAGTTACCCGGATGATGTGCTTGCCATCAGATTGCGTTCCTCGAGCAAGGCTGAGTTCGTCATTCGCCTGACCCGCATGAGTGACTTGGAGTTTGAAACAAATGAATGGCTTGACGATCTCAGTACTAACAGCAACTCAATTATTATGCATGTCACGCCTGGGGGCAAGAATAGTAATCGAGCATGCTGCAGCGTGTCAGTTCGTTGCGACAGTGCTGATAGTACAATTACCAAGATTGGAAATAATCTGGTGGTAAACTCTAGTGATACACTGTTGATTATCGCGGCGCAAACTACATTCCGACACGAAGACATTGATCAGCGAACTAAGCAAGATGCAGATAATGCCTTGAACCTCTCTCTAAATGATATCCGCACCCGTCATGTCACAGACTACAAGTCTCTGTACGACCGAATGGAATTGCAACTCGGGCCAGACTCTCCTGAAATCCCGACCGATCAACGTCTAAAGTCTTCTCGAGATCCGGGACTCATTGCACTCTACCACAACTACAGTCGTTATCTCCTGATATCGTGTAGTCGAAATGGACACAAATCGCTTCCTGCAAACCTCCAGGGTATCTGGAACCCATCCTTCCACCCGGCATGGGGCTGTAGGTTCACCACCAATGTCAATGTTCAAATGAACTACTGGTCTGCAAATGTGTGTAACTTGTCAGAATGTGAACTTCCTCTGTTTGATCTACTGGAGCGCATGGTTGAACCAGGCAAAGCCACAGCTCGGATCATATACGGATGTCGGGGATGGACAGCCCATTCGAACACTGATATCTGGGCCGATACAGCCCCAGTTGATCGATGGATGCCGGCTAGTATCTGGCCACTGGGTGGTGCATGGCTCTGCTACCACATTTGGGATCATTTCCAATATACGTGCGATGAAGTGTTCCTTCGTCGGATGTTTCCCACCCTGCGCGGGTGCGTGGAGTTCCTCCTCGACTTCCTGATCGAAGATGCGAATGGTGAATATCTTGTCACCAGCCCGTCTGTTTCTCCGGAAAATTCGTTCTACGATAAAAAGGGACAAAAGGGCGTATTATGTGAAGGGTCAACGATCGATATCCAAATCATCGATGCTATTCTAGACGCCTTCCAATCCTGTGCAGCCAGACTCGGTCTCCAGGATTCTCTCCTTCCAGCAGTCCAAGCTACGAAGTCCCGCCTCCCACCAATGAAGATCTCCCCCGCTGGGTATCTACAGGAATGGGCCACTGACTACGCCGAAGTGGAACCGGGACACCGTCACACATCCCATCTGTGGGCCCTACACCCCGGAAACGCAATCACGCCAGCACAGACCCCCCAGCTGGCAGAGGCGTGTGGGGTAGTTCTACGTCGACGCGCGGAACACGGTGGTGGCCATACTGGCTGGAGTCGTGCGTGGCTGCTCAACCTTCACGCACGATTACTCGAAGCCGAGGAATGTAGCCAGCACATAGACTTGCTTTTGTCCCGGTCTACTCTGTCCAATCTACTGGACAGCCACCCTCCATTTCAAATCGATGGCAACTTTGGTGGTGGGGCAGGTATTATCGAAATGCTGGTCCAATCCCACGAGCCCGGGGTCATTCGGATTCTTCCAGCATGTCCGAAGGTCTGGAATGGATCCATCCGGGGAGCGCGGGCACGTGGAGGATTTGAGTTGCAATTTAATTTCGAAGATGGACGTGTTGTAGGTGGAGTGACAATATTGTCGGAGCGTGGAGAGACGGTGGTTGTTCACTTCAACGAGTCACAAGTAGAGATTACCGGTGATGGTAAACATAAGATCGACTAGAATATATCCCAATTCTCAGTTTCCTCAATTATAAAACGATGCTTATTCTTTTAGTTAATATCGTAAGGTACTTTTGCACTACGCGCTGGCATCTTCCCCACCCCGTATGGCCCCAGCACTTCCTAACCAACACGGAGCAAACCCCGTATATCCCCCAGTCTCCGGGTAAATTCCAGCGATGGCTTTATCCGGATATACTTTGCGGGGTATACTCTATGATAGCTCCAAGCTCAAGGAAATAAATTGTCAATCCCTTGTCACAACTCCGCCAGTCCCAGCACAGCGGCAATAAAGCAAATATGGATCTGAACTCAGTGCAAGATCTCAAGGGCGTACTCCGACCTGATTTCTTCCATGGCTACGCCACAGCAGCAGCACAAATAGAAGGCGCCTGGAACAAGGACGGTAAGGGCGTCTCAATCTGGGACACATTCGGCCACACACCGGGCAAAATCGCCGATGGAAGCACAGCCGACGACGCCGTCCGAGCGTACGACTTCTACCGCGAAGATGTGGCGCTCATGAAATCCTATGGTGTAAACGCCTACCGCTTCTCCCTCTCCTGGTCCCGTATCATCCCCCTCGGCGGCGCCCACGACCCCGTCAACGAGCAAGGCATCAAATACTACTCCGATCTCATCGACGAACTTCTCCGCAATGGAATCACCCCCTTCATTACCCTCTTTCACTGGGACATTCCCCAAGCCCTGGAAGACCGGTACGGGGGCATGCTGAACCAGGACGCTTACACGCCGGACTTTGTGCGCTACGCCCGCGTCTGCTTCGAGCGCTTCGGCGATCGCGTCAAGCACTGGATTACTTACAACGAGCCAGGCGTCTACACTCTCGCCGGGTATGCAGCCGGTGTGCATGCGCCAGGGAGATCGTCTTTCCGCGAGCGAAATGCCGAGGGCGATTCGTCCACTGAGCCGTTCACTGTTGCGCACACTGAGCTAGTCTCGCACGCTCACGCTGTGCGCTTGTATCGTGAGGAGTTCCAGCCCCAGCAGAAAGGAACTATTGGTATCACACTGCACGGTAACTGGTCTGAGGCGTGGGATGAGGAGGACCCGCGTGACCAGGAGGCTGCGGAGCGTGCGCGCGAGTTTGAGATTGCGTGGTTTGCGGATCCGTTGTATAAGACGGGCGATTACCCTGCGTCCATGCGGGCGCAGCTCGGTGACCGATTGCCGAGGTTCACGGAGGAGGAATCGAAGCTTGTGCTTGGGAGCTCGGATTTCTATGGTATGAATAGCTACACGACTTTCTTTGTGAAGCATAGGACAGCGGAGCCTGATATCAATGACCACAAGGGTAATGTGGAGGTATTTGACGAGAATAAGCAAGGTGTGTCTCGTGGGGAGGAAAGTGATACCAAATGGCTCCGGGCTGCGCCTGGGGGATTTAGGAAGTTGTTGAACTGGATCTATAAACGATACCAGATGCCGATTTACATCACGGAGAATGGGACCACTGCCAAGGGTGAAACGGCTCCCACGCCTGAGGTTCTTAATGATGAATTCCGCATCAATTTCTTTGAGGGCTATGTTGGCAATGCGTTGGCGCGGGCTGTGAAGGAAGACGGAGTTGATATCCGATCTTACTTTGCTTGGACGTTTACTGATAACTGGGGTAAGTGGTAATTCTTATGAGTAATTGAACAATAACTAACAATTCCTAGAATGGGCAGCTGGATATGCGGATCGTTTCGGTTGCACATTTATCGACTTCGACTCCGAAGAAAAGACTCGCTATCCCAAGCAGTCTGCCTATTACCTTGACAAGTTGTTCAAGCATTTGATTAAAGATGAATAGATGATTTATATTGATAAATAGTGAACATGATTGAAATTCCTGCTATATGTATTGTTCTGCTGATCAACTAATTAATACAGCGGTAGTAGATGTTATAGACAAACTGTCTTGCACTAGAGACTACTGTGTCACTACTATCCTATATAACACCATATCACACCACATAAACCCCCAATTTAATATAATATCTAGAAATAGCCAGTTAGGGTAGGTCATTGCGATCCTTATCGTCTCGACCCCGAATGACTCCAACTGAGGGGAGCCGAGGATCGGCTCGGCTGATATTCGCTCAATTAAATAGCTGGAGCCTTCATCTTTTTTGATCTGTATAGTATTGTACTGTACAAATTCAACATGTCGTCTGAAAATGACCCAATAAAGCTGAAACTCCAGGGCACACCCCGAGAGGTACAATCCCTAATACCAACCTGCATAAGGACTCCAACTAACTATGAAATAATAATTAGATTGGATTACAACATGGTCGCGCATTGCGTGAACAGATTCACAGCCAGATATCTATCTACGACACCATGTTCCAACACACCTCAAATTTAGCCTGGGCAGATGTTCGCGAAGTCGCAACTGAATTCCAGCCCACGCTCCAGAGCCTAACGCCTCATTTGTTGACAGAGATGGAGGGTATTGCAGAGGGTGCCGGGCTAGATATTCTGGATATAATCGCTCTCAACTGCCGAAGCGAGATAGCGCTAGGACGATTTTCCGATGGCTGCACGTCACTATGCTGGAAGAAAAGCGAGACGACACGAGTGCTCTCGCAAAACTGGGACTGGACGGCGACTGTTAAGAAGAACCTAGCAATGGTGTCTATTGAGCAAGTTGGAAAACCGACTATCTATATGGTTACCGAGGTCAGTACTAGTACTCTTGTGTGCGGTCTATATTCTGACATATAACTAACTATCCCCAGGCAGGGATCGTCGGCAAGATTGGATTCAATACCAATGGCGTCGGAACTTGTCTTAATGCAATTCGCGCCAAACCGATGACTAGTAGCAAGGTTCCAATCCATGTTGCGCTTCGGTTGTGTTTGGAGAGTACTTCTGTCGAGAACGCCGTGAAGACGCTTGAATCTCTCGGTGGTGTCGCTTCTGCCCAGCATATCCTTTGCGCGGACAGTACCAAAGCCCTGGGGCTTGAGCTATCGCCGGTGGGTGACAAGCATATCTCCGAGGATGCATCGGGGATTATCGGCCATACCAATCACTTCATTGAGAATCGATATGTGAATGAGCCGCCGTGGCTGTCCGGATCACCTATCCGGCTTAAGCGGCTAGGGGAACTAACACAGGAGTTGATTCAGGGCGGTGTTCAGGGCGATGCTATTACCCCTACTTTACTGCGGGAACGTGTCTTCTCTGATACGTATAATCAGCCGCAGTCAATATGTTGCCAGGAGGATCCGTCGCGCCATATCTCGAATAGAAGTAGTACTTTGTTCAACATTGTTATGAACTTGGACCCGAAGAACCTGGGGGCGGAGGTGGTCTTTGGCCGGGTTGGGTCTGGAGAGGAAGGGTCTGTCTTGACAATGCCTTGGTGAATATCATGAAAGAGGGCTGTATATAGACTGGGTCCGTCTTAAACCACAAAGAAGGTGATATGTCTTTGTGCTAGCATTGATTTATTGAATGTCAATCTTGCACCTCAAATAATGAAATGCTGCTATATTGGGATATAAAGAAGCCGATAATGAGCATTGTTGCTTCATTTCTTTTGACCAAGCACTCTCGCATAGACATAAAAGGCACCGGATGCACCCACCAGCTTAGCTACTCACTCTTCAATCAATCCCAAAGCCACTACATCAGACAACCACAAAGGACCCGGGTAAGCCTCACAATCCACTCTTCTAAATACCATTTAGTATCGACACCATGTCTAAGTGCATTTCCCACGGTACGTACGCAGAGGAGCGTCAATTCCTCATGACCACGCTGTATACTCATATTCCCATGCTGAGGGATGCCGCCGATGGGGGTGTGACGATGGTCATTAATTCTCTGAAATATCTCGTTTCACGAATTGCTGGCCTGCGACTGGCCGGACAGGCTTGTTTTAAGGGCGATCGCTCTCGCTGGACAGCCAAGTGTGAAAAGCTCACTGGGCAGTTGACATGTTTTATAGATACTCTCGAGGAGGACCACAGCAACGCCCCCAGAGTCGCCAACGATATTGAAAATATGATGCTCTTTTTGGTATTTTGTTTTCCTAAGGATCCTGAGGGCAAAGCTCGAAGAGAACGAAGTGCTGCCCCGTCGCCTGAACCTAGGGGTTGATTGATTTGGATATTTAGATCAATGAAGTTATTTGGAATCTGAAATTTGTTCCTAATTGTATGGTAAGATCAACATAGTAATGTAGTATGGCGAACTGATGTCAATATTTAAGTAACATATTCCGAATTCAGATATTTTCTTTGTTCAAAGTTTTCTGTAAAAATCCTGGTATTTCAGCTCCGGGAATATGCGGATGGTGGAAGATGCTATATCCAATCGTCATTGAGAATCACATCAAAAAAATGCGAATCGAAGCAGAGTAATGCGTGCTTGCAGAACTGCAAGGATTATTAGCCACCGCCCTTCAATTATTTTCTTTGTCTCATTTCTCTTCTTCTTTGCATCACCCAAATTTCCCCATAATGGCTTCTGCAACGGGAATTCCTCAAGATCACCCAGATACAATACCGCAAGATGATGAGCCTCTATTGGGCCGTCCAGGCGATGTCACACAAAGATCCGATGAGAATATTTATCGGAATCTCTTCACAGGTAAGCATGAAAAGCCTCTGCCTAAAACCCACAACTGACTCCAAACTCAGGGACAGCAAGTGTTGCGCAAGCAGGAATTTGGATTGTAAGGACATTAACAAACTAATAAGATCGTCAAACTAATGAACAACACAGCTAGCCGCGTTGGTCTGGCAAGGAATCTTATCCCTACCCCTCTCATTTTTCACCCCGCATCCAGTAAGAACATCAGAATTAGAAATACATCAAAAAGACACTAACTGAAGATCCTCAGCTACTTGGCATCTCTGCCCTGCTTCTTCAAGTCCAAGCCGCACTCATCTTACAACCAACCGCCACCCCGCAACAGAAACGTACCGGTACTCGCATCCACTACTCCTTGCAACTGCTCAGCGTAGTGGCTTTTGTATCTGCCTTTGTTATTATCGAGATTAACAAAGGCTCTCATCCACATTTCGTCTCTCCTCACGGCATTTTAGGTTTGGTTACTTACATCACTATCGTGCTGCAAGCCGTTGTCGGGGTTATCCAGTACTTCTTGCCGGTCACCATCCTTGGTAGTGTCGACGCTGGGAAGCGCATTTACAAGTATCATCGTTGGAGTGGCTATGTTTTGCTACTGCTGGAGATTGCGACTGTCGTGGCGGCGACGCAGACCGACTACAACTTGAAGGCCATTCATATTCCTCTATGGGGTGTACTTGTTTCTGTCGTTTTGATTCTTGCTGGGGTGGGTGCGAGGGTTAAGAAGCATAAATTGGGACTGTGAGATGGAGAGATATCAATTTGAACATTGAAGAGTAAAGACCATTTACCGTGAAATTTCCAATGGAATTTGATACTTCAAAGCAGGAGCATGTGACTCTGAAAAATAAAAATGGCAAGAGGAAAGGACCCATCCATTTTAGGAAGGTACGTGAGACTATCAAAGGATTCCTCCCACCTTTCTTCCTCTGCTCTTCTTCCTCTCCCCAATCCTCCTGTCTCACCGTAGCCCACCGAGCCAGCGCAGAGGGTGGTCCGCGAAAGACATCAACACCAAGTTGTTGAGGCCTTCGATGGTCCGAATACAAATCAAACCCCCAGTTCTCGTGCGAGTCCTGATAAGTTGGTGACTGAACTCTTGGAGTTCAAGAGTCACTGACAGATCCCACGGAATACATGGATAGGAGGGGTTTTTAACCCCGCCCTCTCTCATTGTAGTTGTCTACTTGTAGGTAGTTTCCTGAATATATCCTTTCACCTTCCGTAGTTCTAGGTCCAGTTCAATATAAATTCTTAATTGAAAGCTTTGATCATAATATCATATGTGAAACGAACCTGCAAAGTACTGTGTCGGGTTGGGTTTGCCTTGTTATTTTTAGCGCTCCAATACGCTGTCACGTAACCTCCCTTCAAGCAGAACAGGGGTGGTCAAAGGCTACATAGCCATGGCGACGAGTAGGGCCAAGTTTCAAAAAGAAAATTCCTCTCACCGTTTCTTTGCACAATATAGCGGGGATCAATGAAAGACCAACCATACGCACAAACTGATCCAGCAGTCCACTTCGCCGTGCACAGCTCGTCTTAACTCAATGGCTCCACCAGAGAAAGCATCAAACTATAGAAAATTGTACAAATTCATCAATAGATGAGTCCATCATCATCCTCATCGCGATGCTCTAGCTATCTTAAAACAAGCAAAAGCGGCAACAGCCAGTAACACCGCACTCAGTAACACATCTGCGCCAGTCCCGATACGACTCGAGAGTAAGCCATCGTTTGCCGTATCGCGCGGTATTAGATCAAACGTTGTCGCAATTGCCGACCATCCTGCAATCGCCGGAGCAACCAATGTATCAGCCATTCCAAAGAAATACTCGAAAGGAAGTTTTGAAGTCGACGACAAGGCAAACGTCAAAGCAAGAGAGTACAACTCTAGAAGGCGATACCGACGTCCAGACCCAAAGCACGGCAATGTCAAGAGAACGAATCGATAGCATGCGTGCGCAAATATCCACGATTTGCTGACGGCAGTGAAGACGAACAAGTTATCGTGAACTCTGACGGTCTTCCATCCAACGCGGCGTCCTTGTTGGAGGATCCAAACGAAGAGTGCAACGCAAGTAATTTTGCTGCATATTCCCCGAAGGGTGCCGCCGGTGGGAGTCCCGATCATCATGCCAATGTTTGCGTACACCGCAAAATTAACATAGGTCGTGAAGGCGGGCAGAAATCTCGTCTGCAAAGACCGATCCGCGGAGAGGAACGTTAGGACAGAGCCGAGGCCAAAGGGAAGTAAACACATAATTTTGGTCATTTCGCCGAGAGTAGCCGTTGTGTTAAATATGAAGATAGTCGCGCTGACCCCAAGGACGACGAGCAAAAGCAGGCCTGGGCTTCGAAGAGCACACCCATAGGTGAGGATGAGAATGATGGTAAGCCATACGTTAAATGGGATATCAATGTATGGTTCAAGCGCCATAAGTAGTGAGAAAGCCATGACATGAACCGCGTAGTTCTATCCGGAGCTTTCACTTGAGCTTCCCCTGTCGTGCGGTCGACGCCTAATTGTGCTCTCGGTAGCCAGTTGGATTTTCCAAAACGGGACAATTTAACCCAAGAGTTTACTGAGATGCTAGGAAACCCAGAAATTGGCGTCCGAAGGAGAGATGGAAAAGACGAAAGCCTAGCATACCCGAATATATCGGCCCACCTTATATCGGAAATATTCTTAGAATCCGATCGGTCAAGATCATCGACTTCGGAGAATCGTTTTTACGCACTACACTTCCCCAAAACTTTACACATGCCACTACCTGTTCGGTGGCCGAGTCGTATTCCAAGATTATCGTGCTGCCTTGCGGAGCATGGTTTGTATGGTAGGCGGATTTCCGAAAGCCCACAAATGGGCCCAAAGCCCAACCAGCTGTGGGCTGTGGGCCCAGCTTTGAGGACCAACCCAAGTCCATTAATGGGTTCACTAGGTTGTTGGCTCGGCGGAGGTCTACCCTTTCTTTGTTCGGAGGCTCCAGTTCTTCCCTTTATTTAACATGTTGTCGTGTAATTTGTATCATCTGCTTTGTTTAATGTTCTCCAAAAAATCTCAGATATATATATCAACCAAATGCCCATCACCAATCTTCTTTTCCTTTCCCCAGCTCCTCCTGAATCTCCCAACTATACCGAGCAAATTTGCTTGCCCGACGAATCCGCTCTCCATAACAGATAAACACAGGCGGCACTATACAAAACGCAGTTGCCACAGCAGCAAGCACCGACATAGCATTATTATTTCCCAACCGCTCAAACATCTGCCTCGTAAACAGCGGAAAGACGCCAGACAGCAACGCTCTCACAAATGCAACAGCAGCAGTAGCACTAGCAGAGTAACTCAAATAAGAATCGGAGATATACCCGTACAACACAGTATCCATTTCCGTCAGCGCATAACCCACCAGAACGAGGGAAATCGTGGGCACGATCCACGCAGTGTGGGTCTCAGGTGGAATAGTCCAGGCAAACCACCATAGACCAATTGCCAGAAATGGACCACCAAGACCTAGCCCGATGAGCTTGTATTCCGGCTTAATAGGACGTCCCTGTCTGCGGAAATAGTTGAGAATGTAGCCGTCTAGCACGCGGGTCAATGTGCTAAGACAGGTCCCCAGGCCTATAGCGATGAACATCAGTGAAGCGTCGGTCTTTGCAAATCCCATTGATTCGTAGATGGGTTGGAGGGCTTCTGTGAAGATGTAGATGAGGGACATGGCGATGGAGATCATTACTGCGATGACGAAGATGATGGGTTCCTGGAAGAAGAGCTGGGCTGGGCGAAAGAGGGCTTCTTTCACGAACATGTTGAGATCGGGGATATGGTCGTGGTTGAGTGGCGGTGGAATCAATTGCATGGTAGTATCGGTGACCCGTTTGACCTCGTAGGCTAGCAACAAGGAAGGTCGGGATTCTCGAATGAAGAAGAGACCACCTGTGATTGCAGCAATAATGATGGAGAAGATATAAAAGTTCCATCTCCTGGGTAGTTGTGAGAAATCATACAGATCATATTTAAGGGTTACGTACCAATCAAGACCTGCAACAATATAACTGCTCATGATGGGTCCAAGAACGAGGCCAATGTTTGAAGCAACTGTCCAGTAATACATAGCCCATATTCGAGCATGCGAGTTGAACATATCCTCGATGCTGCCGCCGATGATGGTATAAGGGATCGCGGAAAGAAGCCCGGCGATGATGCGCATGATGATAATGACTGGCATTACACGCACCAGACCGATAACCATACAGCAAAGGGCGCTGAGACCACTGCTCACAATGTACATGTTCCTGCGCCCAAATGTCTCCGACCACGGGGGAAATAAGATGGTGCCTGCCACTTGGCCGAGAAGGAATCTGTTCATTGTCAGATGTGCAAAGTAGACCAAAACTAGCTAGACTCACATTGTGACAAATATAAAAATAGAAAGTGTCTCGCTAATATTGTATTCATGTTTGGCCTGTGCAGCAGCTGCCGACTAGAAAAGACTAGAGTGTTAGCTCGGCAATCTTATAGGCTATTCATGATAGCTGTATACACTCACACCTGCGGTGCTGGATGCTGTTCTGTTATTACTGTTAGCTTGTTGATAAACTAAAGTTGGGATGTAGTTGAGTCACACATAAAAAGGTCCAAAAGACAGATAAGGACAATATCGTAAGTCTTTCGTAGGCCAGACCAATTTCGAGGATGCCTTGGGTGATCTCGCAACCATCGCACATATTTTCCATCCGGGGTAAGCTCAAGAAAATGGTCACGCAGGAGCTCGATGGCTGAGGCTTTGGGGTCGTCTGTTGGTAAGGTCGATTCTGAGGAGATAGACTGCATATTGGGCAACCATGGAGCAAATCATATAGAAATGATTATAAAGAATGGCCGACTGAGTCACCGCACACAATACGTCAGTCCTGAATAAAGCTTCTGGAGTGGGATTCGAGCTTTTATCATCCTCGCACATGTCCCTGCTCGGACATTTTTAATGCAAACCTTGCCCCGAGGAATGGAGCCCCTTGCGATCTGCGCACTGGGGTTTTGGAGCTCAGTTGGCAATACATATAACGCGTTGGCCACTTAAATTCCCCCAGGAATTTTGCTATCGCCGAATCCCTAGCTGCCAATTGGTGGATTACGAGCACGATAGGTAAGTCAAGCTTCATGTTTCAAAATCAGGTTTATACCTTTGCCAGCACTACTATTTATCTAATTGGTCGTTTATATAGCTCTGAGAATGATGAAATTTCTAGCCACGAGACATAACCTAGTGGCTTGGTTTCTAGGGATAACTATTCTCAGCATTCTTCGTGGTGATTTCTCCGCGCGCCTCGAACAGTGCAACTTAGAACAATCAGAGAGCAATGACGATAAATATTATTGCTTATAATTTCAAGCTATGTAGAGATTGCCTATAGTATAGTTATATCGAAAGAGCTATAAATTTAGGGTTTCTATGTCGTTGTCTGAATCTAAGCTAAGAAATAAGTCTAACCCTACAAGCAAGTTGAAGCTAACTATATAGCGCTAGAAACAGACAGAACTTGCTTATCATTAGCTATACATGCTTGCCCTGATAAAACGGTTCTACACTAAAACATATGTATTGTAACCCTTATACCTCCATACCAAGCAAGCCAACAGTACTTTTCTTACTGGAACATAGCTTCATTCAGCACATTATCAACTTGGAAGATGCTAACAAGCCTTTCGGATGAATTACAATATATAACCGGGTCCATCTATGAAGTGCTTAGAAGGAAGTAGATAAATCCTACTCTTGCTCCTGCTCTACACTAGTCAATTCAATCTGATATTGCAATTGCCCACCCTCTTTGCTGTGTAACACATGTTCTCTCACAAGACCTGTCCACGGGTATACCCAAATAAATCTGTTTGTTATAACCAATGTTGTTCTCGGGCATTTGGATAGATAACCATAGAATTAAACCAGAATACTTGATTTAAGCCTATTTCCAGCTAAAATATGATGTATGAACTCAACTATCCAAATATCGATGTTTATACTTGCAAGGCGGAAAGCCAGTGGATCTGCGCCAAGACGATCTCCGACAGGCCACCTCTCCGCACTCTTTAGCTCTATCAAAACACAACCCAGCCAAGTTAGCTGAACACAGTGGTAATGTCTTTATCCACAGAAGCAGAAGAAGAAAGAAAATTTCTCGGTATCTCTAACCAAGAATAGTCACTATTAGAGCGACCTATCCCAACCCTCCCGCCCATCTGTTGATTGCGAACCGCCCACCATGCTATCCTCCCTCTCCTCGACCATTACAAATGCTCGACAATCAATCGCGCAAGTGCTGAACTTTGCGCTGGTGCTTTCCACAGCTTTTATGATGTGGAAAGGCCTCTCGGTCGTGTCTGCATCTAGCTCTCCAATAGTTGTGGTTTTATCCGGTAAATAACCCTATTTCACGACCGTCGGAACACAACTCACATTCCATCTCCACAGGATCAATGGAGCCCGCATTTCAACGTGGTGACCTGCTTTTCCTCTGGAATCGAAACACGAGGGCGGAGATTGGAGAAGTTCTCGTTTATAATGTTCGAGGAAAGGACATCCCGATTGTCCACAGAGTTGTTCGCACTTTCCCTCAGGTCGAAGGACGTGCGAACGCAAAGAAGGTGAAGGAAGTTACAGTGTATGTGGTCGCCCATTACCCGGTATTTTTTATTGTGGGTGCTCTTGCTAATGGGGTTCTAGGGACACAACACCTACTTCGCATATGCTCCTCACCAAGGTAAGTCACCGAACAATTTGACTGGCTTGGGAAAGTTCTAATATGTGACTAGGGTGACAACAATTTGGCAGATGATACCGAGTTGTACTCAGAAGGTAAGCGATACACAGCTTGGGAGACTTTCGAAGGTTACTGACAAGGTTAGGCCAGGATTATCTCGACCGGAAGGAGGATATTGTTGGCAGTGTTCGTGGCTATATACCTATGGTTGGATACGTTACTATTATGCTCAGTGAGCACCCTTGGCTCAAGACAGTGATGCTGGGACTCATGGGACTAATGGTCATGATCCAGAGGGAATAATGGACAAAGATACATATCGGCAATGGAAATGGTAGAAATAGAACCAAATTGCATTAAATTTTAGGGCGTATCAGATATTCTGAGTGTTAATAGTGTTAATCTGTGCACTGGTATGTTCGTAAATACAATGGCAATCGGCGAAGATATCAAACTTCTCCACTGACGTCTTTTGCCGCGCACCCCACTCGGAGCTTCTAGCTTCGACCTAAAAAGCCCCCTTCTTCTAGCATCTCTCACACATAGGCCCCTTTTCATATGAAATAAATTCCTATTCATCCATCACCCCAACATCTCCAAGCGCGTCCTACCCCAACGCGTTCATCTGCATTCTTCCTCGACCTCCCCGCTCTTATCACCCCACCAAATCCACCACCACCACCACAATGGGCAGCATCAAGCGCATATCAAAGGTAAATGCCTATATTTTCACATGACATCATCAACTATGTGTTAACCATCTATTCCAATTATAGGAGCTGACCGAGCTCACCGAATGCCCTCCCGAAGGAATCAAGGTTGAGCTAGCCGATGAGTCGAACGTGTATGAGTGGAGGATCACAATGGATGGACCCGAAGGATCACCATTTCACGTACGCAAAATACATCCGCCATATCCTCACAATATCCAGCTCTCCACAAGAGTTCCCTGAACTCGAACCTCACTCAAATCCAACGCCTTTCTGACCCTTTGGCAAACAGAATGGCAAGTTCCTAGTCAAGCTCTCCCTACCAACGGAATACCCGTTCAAGCCACCGACAGTCTCCTTCGCAACGAAAATCTACCATCCAAACATAACAAACGACGACAAAGGAAGCATGTGTCTTGGCATGCTCCGCGCCGACGAATGGAAACCCAGCTCCAAGATAGCTGCAGTCCTGCAATTCGCCAGACAGCTATTATCCGAGCCGATGCCTGATGATGCCGTCGAGGGACGGATTGCAGAGCAGTACAAGAATGACCGGGGGCGCTATGAGGAGGTTGCGCGGGAGTGGACTCGCAAGTATGCTTGTTGATAGCATTGCTGTGCTCTGATTTGAGGATTGGCTACTATGGAAATGATCTATGTTGTGTTCTATCCTAGAACTAGATCTGCTTGTTTGCATGCAGTCCGCTTCATAGATTTACTTATCTGAGAGTCACCCCGCTTACGACTGAAACGCTGTCATGTTATTCTTGTAAATTCCTCAATGCGAGATCTAAATTCAATGCGAGATCACGGTTTGGTTTATATTTGGAATCTACGTGGTGGCATGAAGTGTTACCCATATCTCTTTACAATTATACTCCTTTGGAGGACATTCCTATAGGTATTAGTCGTACTGAATATCTTATCGGTCCAGCCAGGTTACTTGCGCACAAGACATCAACATGTCGATGAAATCCTAACCCGAGAATCAAATTGGTATTGTCATCCTAACGCCACGCCTTCCAGTCCAAGCATTCGAATATCTCAACAAGAGTCAGAGATATGAACAACCACCCATCTCAGAAACAGAAACAAGTTGAACCAGAACTCCCGATATCTATCACAAGTAGTCAGCAACAATCCACAAAACCAAACAATCCAAATCAACATACCAATATCCCAATTCCCATTCAAAGCAAAATAACAACCCCCCGACTACCAGGCCGCGTAATCTCCAAATCATCCGCCGAAGGCCGAAACCCATGCTCATCCAGACTCGCCCGATTAGCCCTAACAAAAGATCGTTTCATATGCCGCGGCAGGCGATTGAAATCTGCCACGATGCTCCGATGCAACGATGCCACTTTCGACTTGGCCTGCAGCCAGGATCCGTGGTGGAGATTGAGTTGTGCGGGTGTTGTTGGCGTGTTGAGGATTGACAACATGGTTCGGTCGTAGATTGCAATTGCGGCTTTAATGTATACTAGTTCTTCTAGTTCGCCGCCGAGATCGACGACCTGGGATGGGGATTAGTGTGGAGGGGTAGACTTGGATGGAGTTGTACGTACCGCTTGGGGGAGTTGCACGATACGGGGTGGCATCGTTTGGTAGGGTGTTGGGGTTTCTGTTTCATAGAGGTTAATGTGAGATAGAAGTAGAGGGTGGGAGGAGTTGGGTACATACTGATGGTTGGTAGAGGTTGAGGAAGAATGGGGAATGGGAAGAGGTAGTGTGTAGGTCAATCACAGGAGCTGTTGGAATAATAAGGGAGGACTGAGAAGAGATGAGAGGAATGAAGCCCCATGGCTTGCCTATCGGGTGGAGGTTGTATAGAAGATGGGATTTGGGGTTTACTTACAACTAGAGGTAGGAGACAACGAAACATCGAGGAGTACATATAGTCTAGCAGATGGATGGACATAGATAATTTGAAGGTCGAGTTAACGGTAGATATATCGAAGTGTAGGTACAAAAATCTTAGGACATCTTGGTAAGGGAATACTAATGGTCTGGCCAGGAACTACGTTGGAAATCGGTGGAAAACAATTATCAAACAGAACGTTACAGTTCATATTCCAAAGGAGCGGTCATAAGGACCGTATATGGACATTCATTACAGCGTGTCAGAATACAACGCTACATACAACCCGAACGGCCACATCCCCGGGCACGTCCAACGCTTTTTCGGCCGCATGAAGAGAGGATATGAGGGTACTCAAAAGGGTAAAGAAAAGGGAATCAAAGATGCGACATCAAAAGACGTCAACATTTACAGCTGGCCAGCAGTGTTGAAGTCCTCGAGGGCCTCAGTAACACGCTTGCTCATGGTCTTCTCACCCTCGCGAACCCAGACGCGGGGATCGAAGAACTTCTTGTTGGGCTTATCAGCACCGTCGGGGTTACCGACCTGGGACATGAGGTAGTCCTTCTTGTTGAGGACGAAGTCACGGACACCGGTCAGGTAGGCGTACTGCATATCAGTGTCGACGTTGACCTTGACGACACCGTAGCTAATAGCCTCCTTGAACTCCTCCTTGGAGGAGCCGGAACCACCGTGGAAGACGAAGAAGACGGGCTTGTCGGAGGCAGAGCCGGTCTGCTCCTTGACGTACTTCTGGTGCTTGGAGAGAAGCTCGGGGTGGAGCTTGACGTTACCAGGCTTGTAGACACCGTGGCAGTTACCGAAGCCGGCGGCAATGGAGAAGTAAGGGCTGATGGGGGCGAGGGCGTTGCGGATGGCAAGGATGTCCTCGGGCTGAGTGTAGAGGGAGTTGTTGTCCACAGACTCGTTGTTGACACCGTCCTCCTCACCACCGGTGATACCGATCTCCTATAGAAGTTGTTAGCACCGCAATATTAATAATTTGCTCTTTAGGATAACGTACCATCTCGAGCCACTGCTTCATGGGGGCAGCGCGCTTAAGGTAGGCGGCGGTGGTGTTGATGTTGTAGTCGACGGGCTCCTCAGACAGATCAATCATGTGGGAGGAGAAGAGGGGCTCGTTGTGAAGCTTGAAGTAAGCCTCATCGGCCTCGAGCATACCATCCAACCAAGGGAGGAGCTTCTTGGCGCAGTGATCGGTGTGAAGGATGACGGGGATGTTGTAGGCGGGGGCCACGCTACGGATGTAGTGGGCAGCGGCAATGGAACCAGCAATGGAGGCCTTCTGGCCATCGTTGCTCACACCCTTACCGGCGAAGAAAGCAGCACCACCCTGGGAGACCTGCAGGATAACGGGGCAGTTCTGATCACGAGCAGCCTCGAGGGAAGCAACAACAGTGGAAGAGGAGGTGACGTTCTAAGGTAGAGTTAGTACAAGATCCCAATATTTCAGAGAATTAGTTTGAACTCACAATGGCGGGGATAGCGAATCCCTTCTCCTTAGCGTACTCAAAGAGACGGAGAACATCGTCGCCGACAATGACGCCGGACTTGCGAGTAAGTTGCTCAAGAACACCCATTATGAAGTTTGTACAAATATTTTGGTTTTGTAGAAATCTAAAAGGGAGAAAGAAAAAGAGAGAGGTTAGAAGGTGTATAAAAGGGTAGGCTTTTACCGGGAGCTGAAAGCGGGCAGAGTTAAATAAGGAAGAGGGGCAAATGGTTGGAGGGGCAAGCGTCATCGGTGAAGGGAGAGAGACAAGGTTGGACTCACCGGTGGTGGAGATGTGTGGGAACTTGTGAGGTCAGTGTGATTTCAAGAAAAAGAAGAAGAAGAACATTGAAGATGATATAACACTCTCTTTATGTATCGTTAGTTCCCGATCTTCCCCGTGATGGCCCGATGTTACCGTTGAAGCCGGAGCTGTTTATAATGGGGGTATAACATTGGAAGACATTCTATAGGGAAATTATGAGGGGTTTTTACACCTATATCATAAGTTTTGTACTTTTGTAGTAACTTAATTAGCATTGTTATAAACATCTACAGCTATATCTAACAATATCTTCATAATATCTATAGAGTCAAAGTACTCATAATCGATGAATCCGTATTTTGTTCGTGGCGGGGATGCCGAGGAGTTCGAGGCCATTCGCCGCAATTCCATTTTCTCTTATGAAACAGATTATATAACTTTATCATATGAAGATATAATATTCAATTTCATTGTTTCGTCCTCACCGTATTAAAAGCTATCAAATATTGTATAGAGATGCAGAGATGTAGACATGTACAGCTACAGAGCTACAGAGCTTGCAGAAAGTCAAGTGACATCATCTTCGCCGTTTATCGGAAGTTACCTTTTCCCTCTCCCGGAATTGGTATTCTCTTCTGTTGGGCTAATTTAATATATTTCTAACCCTTTTTTTTTAATTCTAAATCCCATCCTGTACAGTATGGGGATATATGTATTTACTGGAATCTAAATAATAAAGAAAACGGCCTATCAACGTCCCTCAGGGTTCGTCTCAGGCTTCTCCAACTCGTAGAACAAGAGGTAGACCTCCCTCTGCATGCCCAGCACGTCCGAGGTCTTACATTCCTTGATCTTCTCATCGGAGATACGCCACCAGCGATCGTTCGGTTTGCGACGGCGCCGAAGCCGCGAACTGACCCCCGCGGGGGTATCCTGGGAAGGGCCGGGTACGCTGCGGGAAGGCCGCGGGGAAGGACTCCAGCGACCCTGGTCCGTCGTCGGGCTATTGCTATCCGAGGTAGGAGACAATGTCTGTTTAGAGGAACGAGAGGTGGTGCTCTGGAAAGAATGACGTGAGCCAGAGGTTGTAGGCCGCGGTTGAGGAGGGGTAAGTTGGGTCGCTGAAGCGGGGGTCGAGATTCCAGATAGCGAGGTCGACGATCCCGCTCTCGAAATGCTTCCTTCGCCGTCGATATCAGGACTGCTGCGTGGTACAATCCGAGGACTGGGCGCCGCGGACGCGTTCTGACTAGCAGTGCGACTCTGCGCATAGGAGCTGAAGACCTCGGGTGTCGAGAATGGTGGGTAGATATGATTCCGTCGGAAGGATTCGTAGTGTCCGCTATGGTGGCTACCCTTGTGGCAGACAATCGCAAGCAACTTGTACCACTTCTGGCTCAAAATGCTACCCAAGGGGAGCCGCTCTGGGAAGGAGACCTTGGCCGCGTTTTTGCTCGAGCTGCTCTGATCAAAGATCGATCGCGACAAGTGGATGGCAATGACCTTCGGGAACGCGGTGATGCGCATGTGCCGTGCGATCCTGCGCTTGGGGACGGTCTCTGACGGAGGGAATACGATACCCTCCAGCTCGGCCTCGGGGTCCGTCTCCAGAGCCTCGCGGATGCGGGTGATTTCCTGATCCAGCCGATCTCGATCATCTTGTGTTCGAGCACGGGCTAACTCTTTGGTCTTGGCATCCACAGCATGCTGCAGGCGACATCGGTCGCAGCGGAAATCCTCGATATATTCAGTCTTGAGGAGGCCATCGAAGCAGGAGTTGAGCGTAGTTGAGCTCTTCTGTGGCACCTGTAGTGTCAAGTTGACGAAAGCCGTCTGATTTGGCTTGTATTGATAATGACAGAACTGGCACTCGATCTGCGACTCCATTTTGCCTTCGAACGGGAACCCAGACTCCTGGTCAATTTGCTTGAGTTTCGTGTCGATGATGGCAGGCAGTCCATTGGCTGATCCGTCATCGATGCGCACTTCCACCTCGGACGAGCTTTCTTGTGTGCTACCCTCTTCGCCTCCCGTGGTAGAAGCAACTGCATCAATAGCATCCAGTGCTCGTTGACGTGCGCGCGCACCAGCATGGTACTCATCGCAGAGTCGCTCAAGAACAATCTGCAAGAATTCCTGCGCGTCCTGCTGATTCCGGCTGATGCGCGTGCGGAACGCGTACTCCAAAGCCTGGATGAAGTCGCGGGCCGAGATCGTTTTCTTATAAATTGGCCGCTCGTTCAGTCGGTCCAGCATCTCCTTCAATGCCCGTGTGATTATCCCCTGTTGCAACTCCCGTAACTTATCCGACCGCGCCGGCGTAAGTTCATCATCGGGCAGTGTATGGTATATTTCCGGTCCGTCCAGCTGGCGCCGGTGCAGCTCATGGATCAGGTAAACCCGCAGATCCCCCAGGCCAGCTAAAGCCTGCAGCACCGAATTGATAAAGCAGTCATTGGCCATGTTGGACAAGCCAACGATGCTCTTCTTGCGATTGCTGTCATTTGACTCATCTCCGTCGATTGTGTAGTTCGGCCCGAAGACGTAGAACAGAGCAACGGCAGCGAGCGAGGCCCCGGCCGCATAGGCGGCGACCGTTGTCGGCTTTTCTTGCATCAAGCAATGTGGTATATGGGAAGGGAGGTTCGGAGGTTCGGCGGTCCGTTGGGTCGAAGCAGGCAGACTTATATCTCATTGCCCCATCCTCGGATTGGCCCGGATAGTAGCTAGGGGCGTTGTATGTCCTTAGAGAAAATCACAAGAGATGTCAATGTGGGGGGTCTAAAGGGTGAGAACAAATTTGCAGAAATAAGTTCGGGGAAGACGGGAGAAAGGGCGAGAGCGGAGCGAGATTCATGCGGAGAAGAAACGAGCATTTTCGTCCATAAAAATCAGGTTACAGTCAAATGGGGCAAACTCCACTCAAAGATGAAGGGCAATACATTCCTTTTCGCCTGACTCTTCATTCAATAGAAATCCCCTTGGCCTACAAAATAGGCACCGTTGTTAGCAGGTTAGACCCCACGGACGGATTCTCCCCGGGGCCGAATATCCGTCTTACACCATCCCCGCATATTTGCAAAGTTGCATGCGGTTACATGTAGTCCGGGGTAAAGCCCCCTGAATATCAAACACAAGTTTTTGAGTCAAGAATTTGTGAAAGGTCTCATCGAAAATATGGGCTCGTCTCAAAAGCAATATAAATCTTCAGAGTTTCCAGCAACGTACTTAACATAAAGAGACCGTAGACTTCTCCAGCCACTCTAGAAGGACACAAGGAAATCCATAATATCTTCGGCATCTGTCATATGTCCAAAGTTATAACTTTTGTAGCATTCCTTATTTGGAACTATTTGTATCAAAATCTAATCATGTAAATTCCTCCCCCACATAGACACCTACCAGCGCAACAGGCTTATGCCTGAAGCGACTCAGGCAGGGTAGCAACCTTATCATTAAAGAGCTGCTCAGCCTGCTTCCAGACCCGAGAGTTGGCCCGGTCGTTAAGAGTGAGAAGGCTAGGCAGGAGAGCCTCGCTGAACATCTCAGAGCTCTCACGGGGAAGGAGAGATGGGAGGTGATCAATGCTGATCACGCTGAGAGGCAAGCCTCCAGCCTCCAGCCCGGAGACGGGAACTGTTGGCTTATCGAAAGTGGTCGTAATGTCGTACAAAGGAATGGGGTTCAGGGGGTTGGAGCTGGTGAGAATTAGCTGTGCGCTCGCTGGCATAGTTCATATCTGATAACTCACGTGTCGGCGCTGACGTCGCAGATAACGGATAGGGTTCGGTTGGGGGCAGACAAAGACTCCAAGTTCACGAAGGCTAATGCAAAAAAAGGGTATTAGCCAGGAGAGTCGAGAGGAGAGGATGTATGTATAAAATTACCTGGAATCTTGGCCGAAAGGTAAATGCAGTTCACGAAGATATCCGCTTCATGTGAGATTTCCTTGAAGGGACCGCCTGCAGAAGTTAGTTTATGAGTTTATATCAAATTGAAGAAGAGGTCGGAGATAAATAGTCGACTCACCTCGCGCAGTCTCTGCCATATCCCACTGAATAATGTTGGACTCGGGGATACCGACATCCTTGGCCAGCTGCACGGCACCGCTGCCACAGCGTCCGAGCTATAACATTGTTAATATGCATATCGTTTTCTATGGGTCTGCGCAAGACTCACAGCTCCAATAACAAGGATCTTGGGTGCCTTGCCGGCAATCTTCATGCCAGCCTCGAGTGACTCCTTAACAGACTCGACCAGACGGTCTTGGTTGGCGTAGGGAACCTCACCAGGCAAGGTCTCGTTGGGGTGTGTCAATTGCCAAGCCCAGTTCTTCACAGCCAAAGCGGATCCTGTTCCATGTCTTAGTATTGGTTCTGTCACAGAAGCTTCATATATATATATACCTGCGTAACCGGCGGACCATCCGAAGGCTAATAAAGGAGCGGAGTTAGCCAATTGCGTTGAAACAGGAACACTTCAGGACAAGAGTCTTACCAGCAACTCGGCGTCCAGAATCATCAGTCAAGAATTCAAGATCGAGCAGTGTGCCCTTGCCGCGAGGCCAGCGGCTGAGAACCTTCTCCCAACCACCCTGTTGCTTGAAGCAGTGTGCAAAAGTGACGTGGACGTGCTCCAGAGGGAAGTCATCCTCCGGCAGCTCCTTGAGACCCAGGATGACGGCATCCTTAGGGGCATCCTTGACCCAGGATCCCTCATCGACCAAAGGCGCACCGATCTATAGTAATTGATGATATTTAGTGCGAATTCGAGCTATAGTACTTGTGAGTCATACCTTAGAGAATTCCTCATCTATAAAGCACAATCAGTTATTGAATCAGAGAGCAACGGTCGGAGAGTACGGGGTGTAGACTTACCTTCAAAGATGCGCTGGGTAGACCGCTCGACAGTCACGTCATAACCAGCATCAATCAATGCCTTGCAGGTAGTTGGGGTCACTAGATGGTGTATTAGCCAATTGCTTCCCCGCCATTGTAGGGGCTGAAGCTACTCACAGGCAGACCGCGCCTCAGCGGGCTTGGTCTCAGCGCGCAGCCAAATCTTTTGTCCAGCCATTGTGAAAGGAGGTAATAAGAATATTATGAAGAGCAAAAAAGAAACCAAATAGTTACTGCTCTATCACCAATAATGACACAGACTTTCCCCTCCAGTAATAAGCGGGGATGGAAGGGTTATTCCGCTCCGAGAAATGACTCAGTCCCGATTATCGGCCATTGGACCCATCCGAAAAGAGTGGGTTTATGGATTGGGATTTTATTTAGGAAATTATCTAAAGATTGATGTTCTTAAAGAATTTGACATAGGGATATAGGGTTCTCTCAATCAGAATTTATCGCAGCGCATATGTCTACATAGTATGTACTCATGCAGTGCACAAGCATTTCCTTTATTTAAAAGGTCATACGATATCAGAAATATATTGCGTGGAACTTCTGTTGCTTTTGAATTTGATATCTTTCCCAGCCTGTAATTTGGTCGGGGAAAAGATATTATTCCTACAGCAGCGTGTGTACAGCCACAACGATGAGAAGTCTTGGACATGAATAGACAAACATGATAAAATCGAAGCAACACGGCAAGCCTGCAAATAGAGTGATCTTAGTCTATTCAAGCACCCTTAGTCCGGCTGCGGGTCCGGCTACCAATGCCATCTCCTGGGATAACCTTGTTCACGACATCCTTAATCTTCTCCTTCTTAGACCGACCAGCCTTCTTCTGTCCTGCATTTTCTGTGCTAGAGGGGGCAACAGCGGCGCCATTGGTCTCTGTAGCAGGCTTTTCGTCGGTCTTCAGCTTCTTGGTATCAGGCTCATCCGACAGTTCAGGCTTTAATTGTTCCTTGTCCGCAGCCGAGACCGGAGTGGGCGTCACAGTTGAATCAATACCACGCTTCTCACCCGCCACTGTTTCATTCATAGGTCCTACTGAAACCTGAGATTCACGAGCAACAGGAATGTTGCCAGTAGTAGACTCTGCGGGCTCTGTCACAGTCGGCTTGGTGTCTGGAGTCGGCTCGGTATCCTTGGGCTCCTCAAGCCCTGACTCCACATTTAGCTGCTCATTGCTTATATCGGGCTTGTCCGTTTCCGCAATAGCTGGGCTATCCGTCTGAGTTGTGTTTAATCTGTTCTGGAATGCATGCGAGTGTTCTTTGACCATCTGAGCAGTGTCCTGTTCTGTTATATTCCTTAGTCAGCATCTGGAGTGCATTTTCCAAGTTTACAAGCACTGTCCTGCAACCATACGTTGGGAAAATAATTGGGTCACAGATACCAAATGCTCCTCGGATTCTATGGGAGTACGTGGGCAGATAAAGCACGTACCTGAAGCTGTCTTGGTGTGCGCGGGGATTCCTTCAGTAGCCATTGTGGATCGATAATGTCAGATGCCGGGCCAACGTGTTGTAGATTGGTAAGGATTGAGTGGGGAGTTATCTCAAAAGCAATGCGACTGCAATTCTCGCTTAGGTGAATTTGTACGAGGAAAAAAGAAGCAAAGAGGAGTCGGTTAATTTGGGGGGGAGGATGAGGTGAGGTCGCGCGGTGACGTACTTGAGAGCACTGAAAACGCTACCCCCGGCTGATTCGCCGCTCCAGCCTTTTTGACTCTCAACGACATTCTGTCGCACAGCCTCACCAGCCCCAGAATTACAATTGCCACGCAATGTTCTCCACAAGAGATAGCTGCGAGCACCGTATGTTTCCAAAGTTGTTGAAGATTGTTGGTTATTGATCACAGAGTATGTAGAGCTTATCCTTAGGAGATCGTGTGTAGACAGTAATGTTATGCTCTTCATTGAGCCCAAAGGGCTTGTCTAGGAAACTGGCCTAGCCACTATTGACAGTATAGGTTATATAAATATATATCAACAAGGGGCGCTTTCGTATATTGCTGCAACGAAAAGGCAAGTTTGAGGATAATTGGTAGTATTCAATATCACACACCTCCAATGCTGTTTTAGCCATGTGTGGTTGATACCTTGAGTTCCTCATACAATTCGGAAAATGTATGTAAGAGCGTCAAGAAGATGACGCTCTAACCAAGTGGAGTAGCGGCAGTGGCTTTTGCTTGGTGATTCGGAAAATGAAGACTTGTCGAACAACCGGGCTGAAGTGATTTGATTGTGCAATTGTGCACAAATGAATGCCAATGAGGATTGTATCCTAGCAGCGTGCCAGCATAACTGCAGGTATCCTGCCTAAGACCGCCTCTGAAGGTAGACAATAGAGAAATGTGTGTGTGTGTGTGTGTGTGCCTCTGGAGTGTGGGTGTTGGTTTGAATGGTCTTCAAACTCCTGGCCATGTGCGAGGGTAGAGTGTTTGTTCGATAATTTTCAAACTAGAGGATCACGTAAAGCCCCAGTTCAAACGACCGAGATGTTCCTCTCCAGACGATGTATGCGACTTCTCAGTGGCCGGAGCTGCTGGCTGTTCCGGTAGAAGTTCTGAAATATGTTGCTCCAGCCGAGAGATATCACGGAACCTCTTCTGCTCAACGAGGACGCGAAGAGCTTCGGAACCAATCTCGAAGAAAGCATCACGTCGAGTTTCATTCCAAGCCTGGAATTTGCTTGGTGAGAGGTTTGCCACGAATTGGAGGAATGGGCGTGGATCGGGATCTGTTGGGTGACAGACAGCCACGGATGCTAGCAGTAAGGACCGAGGAGACAACACAGAAACTGTATCCCTGAACTGATCATACACTAATGTTGACACCTGCTCACCCGACGGCTTGTACTCCATGGCCATACGGCTCAAGTGAGCGCCTGCAGCCAGCAGCATTGGTTTCCTTGACTTGTGAGAAGATGGACCTAGGAAATGCATCTGGCACACACTCAGATACTGTTCCATCGCCGAGCCGAAGCCATTTCCAAAGCAGGCTTCTGCATCTATAAAATCAACAAGGAGATGATTGAAGGTCTGCCGTGCGAGCCCTTCAGTCATCCGGCCATTTTGACTACCTAGGTCGTTGCTCATGAGCATTTGCAACCATTGCATGACAGTGCTGTGTAATCCCTCTGCGACCATGAACTTGGTCAACGACGTAGTCGCTGACCGCAAACGCAGAAGGGATTGCCTCGATGTGCCATCTGATGCCCAATACCAATTCACGATCCTCGATGCCACCCGAGATGTTTTCATATCGACTGGGGACCTGGAAAGGAGAAGTTGAGACTTTAAACAATCATTGATTGTGAGCGCGGTGACTGAGCCAGCTGCAGCCATCTGATCAAATACTGCCATGGGTTCTTCGGCTAGTCGTCGCTGGCCCTCGACGCTTTGCAATGTGGCAGGTGCTTGTGGGATGGGCCTGGTCGGTACAATACGGAAAAGAGGGTTATCGAGGATGCTTTGCAAATGCTGATCGGTTGCATGTGCTGATGATTCAGGGTTCAAGAGGGGTCGGCCATGGTTGTTGCCTGATGCGGGATAAGCCCCATCAAGTTGACGACGGAAGGAAGATGTGAGGGCATTTAACAGTTGTTGAGACTCTCTTGGAGTACGAGGTAAGGGTTGATGAATTTTGGGCCAAGACTTGAACTGGAAGATAGATGTACCCTTCATGATGAAAAGTGTTAAGGTTATCAATGGTATGTTTCAAGATTGAATGATGCATGAAGGTAAAGAGGGAGGATCTACGAGGGCGGTGAACCCCTTCTCCTCCCTTCAAAGGGCGAAAAAAAGGTGAATGACGAGTAGAAAAGAAACAGTACAATTTATAGAAAATTTGTATTGACAATAGAATATACTTAGAATATTTATATCTACTATAATTTGTTAAAAACAATTATACCTATACTATAACATATTTAAAAAAAAAACATTGTTAAAAAAGTAAAGATCTCCCTTTGTTGTAAATCCCCCCAGCATCCAATAAGCGCCACTCGCTAAAAGCCAGGCAACGCCAAGACTTGAAGGGAAGCAACTCAGATCCCGTTAGCTTTTGATCCTTTCTTCAATCTTGTCATCTCCTAACGCATTCTTCTTCTCCCCCAATTAATCTTTTTGATTTTACCTCTTCTTTTCGTCTCTTCTGGCCCCCGTGCCTGTGGTTCTGGTGCTGTTCCTCTTTTGCGAGGGTGCTCCATTTCAATAGCCTTTCCCTGCGAATCGTGACCTCCTTCCTCAATACTTCTCCATCTCACACATCTTCATCAATCAACATGTCCGATATTCAGAACCGGTCCTCCGCCTCGCGGGGTAGAGTATCCGCCCGTGGTGGCCGTGGCGGTTTCAGCTCCAGAGGTGGTCGTGGTGGAAATAGATCTGCAAACGATAACTCAGACATCTCATCCTTTGAAGAGGGTGAAATTGGACAGATGAAGAAGAAGTACTCCGACACTCTGCCAACTCTTAAGGAAATGTTCCCAGACTGGAAGGACGAAGATCTGGTGTTCGCACTGGAAGACTCGAACGGCGAGCTCTTGGAGGCAATTGAGCGCATTAGTGAAGGTCGAGTTCCCGTCAACCTAATATTCCCGACTCGAAATCAATCGAGGCTTCTAGTTCTAGGGCCGTGGCTGACTGGCTTTACAGGTAATGTCTCCCAGTGGGGTGAGGTCAAGAAGAAGACCACAGACCGGACTCGCCCTAAGCCCAAAGAGGCGCAGAGTGCTTCGACCGAAACTCCTCCAGCTTCCGCCCGTGGAACCCGTGGTCGTGGTGGAATAGAGGGACGTGGACGTGTTCGCGCAGACCGGGGCCGTGGCGGTCGCGGAGGTCGTGCAGGAGCGGCTACAAATGGAACTCGCGTAGTCTCCACTACCGGAGAGACTCCTGCGCCTACTGCTGTTCCTGCTGCTACATCAGAGTGGGCTGCGCCCAAGGCAGAGGAGACTGTTGCAGAGCCTTCAGGTGAAGGCGAGTGGGAATCAACTGAGCCTAAGAGCAGTGTGATTCCTGAGGGCACAAAGAAGGGGTGGGCGAGTCTTTTCGCCAAACCACCCGCTCCTCCTGTACAGAAGAAGCCCCAAGCCCCTCCTCCTGTTCCCGCCGCCGAAAAGCCCGCCGAAAAGCCCACCGAGCCTGTCGCCGAGCCATCTCCCCCCGCTCCTGCTCCTGCACCTGTGACTGCGCCCGCTGCCTCCCAGAAGACACCCGTTGCCAAGCCCACCCATCCCGTAATCCCTGCTATTCCGACCACCGCCGTTAACCCTCCTAAGGGCGATTTGACCGAGACGAACCTCGAACAGATTCCCGATGTCTCCGCTCCCGCTCCTACCGCCACCGCCGCAAGCACCGTTGGTAGTGGTATCGACCCCGCGGTGGCCGCCGCTGCTACTCCCACCCGATTCCCCTCGTCTGCCTACCCACCCAGCGCTACCAAGCAGGGCCGTACCCCAGGTCTTCAACGCCGTGTGATGGAGCAGCAGCAGGCTGTGGTTATGCCCGGCAACCACGCTGTGGACCGCGCTGCGGTTCAATTTGGCAGCATGGGACTGAACGGTGACGCTATTGATATTGATGAGAACCGCGAGGAGGCCGAGACTCGCGCCCAGCCCCCGCAGCACTCTCCCGTTGCTCCCCGTGCCTCTCTCCCCCCCGCGACCCAGGCACCACACTCGATGGAGACTGGTGCCGCTGGGCGTCCTGCTCCTGGCTTGCCCCCGGTCCCCCAGGGCGCTTCCGCCGACTCTTTCACCGACTTCGCTCGTTACTCTGAGCCCCAGCAGAAGCCATTCGATCCCTTCACCCAGCAGGTGAGCCAGCCGCAGCCGCAGATCCCCGAGCCATTTGCCAACCAGGCCCCCGCTCAGCCCGCTGCCACCACCGGCAGCGAGTACTCTCCTTTCTACGCCGCCGAGCAGCAGCGTTTCCCTTACTACGCCTCGTATGGTTCTTACGGCCAGTCCCAGGATGCCCCCACCGGTCCCCGCGCCGGAGCTGGATTTGGTGTCTCTGGTGCCGAGGCCCAGGCTCAGGTTCCCACCACCCAGCCTCCCAACCGCTACGGACCTATTGATGCCACTAACAGCGGACACAACACCCCCAACCCCACCGTCCCTGGCGCCACTCAGCAGACCCCCGCTGCTCAGCACATGCCCGGCCAAAGTGCCCAGCACGCCTACGGCTACCAATACCCTAACTACTACAACAACCCCCACTACGCTTCGTACATGAACCAGATGGGTCAACAACAGCAGCAGCAACAGCAGCAGTATGGTGGCGGTAACCGCCCGCGGTACGATGATGCCCGCCGGTATGAGGATCACTACATGCAGCAGCAACAGCAGCAGCACAACCAGCAATACGGCTACGGTAGCCAGTATGGCCCCTACGCGGGCAAGGGCGGCATGTACGGCCAGCCCCACGGTGCTTTCTCTTATGATCAGCAATCGTCTTCCCCCGCAAACACTGGCAGCTTC